CCTTTTGGCTCAATGAATGTAAATATATAATAAATAAATAATAATAAAAACTCACAGTTTGTCGGCGCACTGCTGGCCAGCTGCTACCTAGCTATATAATAATAATTTCACACACAGATGCAAATACGAAAAAACAATAAGAACATTAATGATAACACAAGTGGCGATTTGCGCACACAATATGTATGTATAAAAATATAGTATATATAACAAATAGATAATAGATAAAGCGGCGATTCGCGCACGCAGTAAATAGAATAATAAGTAAGGGCTGCGATTCGCGCACACAATAAATAATAAAAAATATAACTTCGATTTTCACAACAGAAAAATAATTTATAAGAAATAATCGGACGTTGGTCTTTGCGTTACGACGTATGACAAAAGACAAGTTTTTGCGGCGGCCGCGTTAATCTGCGCGCACCGGCGAGCCGGCGGCAGCAGATAACGCGCCGATAATTAATTTAAATAATATTATATAATTCACAAAACACAATATAATTAAAACAAAAATAAATATAAAAAATAACAGCTAGCGTATATGAGTGTTTGTGTGTGTGTGTGGATCGGTGGCGGTGACCGTGAATTTGTAATTATTTATAAGCCTATATTATTTTTATTGATATTGTTAACACTCATCTTCGCTTTCAAATGAGTTTGAAATTCCCTACACTACATTCGCTACCAGAATCATCAAAATCAAAAAGATTGTCTTCTTCATCTGAGTCTAATAGCAACAGAATTTCGCGTTCATTTGGGAATTTACCAACACAAGCCCTTTTAGGTCGTGATAGACCAGCCTCATCTCTATCCATGATAATATATATGTAATATATCTATCAATATAATACTTACCAAAAATAAAAAGCAATTTCAAACCTACATTATCCTATCGTATAGCGAGAATAAGAAAAAACTTACCAGAATAACAAGTGTCGTCCACCACTGACGATAAACAAATCGAAAATAATATTTTTATACGCTGTCATTTTGTTAATTATGTCGAGATTTATTATATATGTTATAACAATAATAATATTATGTGCCGCTGTGTTGTGATACACATCAAAGAAAAACAAAACAGATAAAGATATCTCTAATAATATCGATTAAAATAATAAAATATAGTATTCTAAAAACAACATTAAAGAACTGCTCCTATATGGTCCATACATCGAAACGGAGTACGAATACATATTTTAAAACATGCATTTAACCCTCTGCCGTGCGCTCGTGCGGCATCCGTGCCGCCCTTTTTGAAAAAACGCGGCAACTTTCTAAAACCTCGGTGTATCCGATTGAGGCACACAGTAACTTTAAGTTATTCAATAAGACACACGATTGCGCAAGAGTCGGCCATCAGTCATGTCGCGTTTTATCACTAGCCAGTATTGAAGTTGACGTCTGTCTGTTTGCGGCACGCGAGCCGCTGAGCGCATCAATATACTTTGTAATTGCGGTACAAACACCGCAGTGCGCACAAAAATGTAAGTATTTTTTACTATGTTTTTTTTATAATTTTTCCTCAATTCTTTGATGTATTCATATTTATTTATTTCGGTAATTAAGTTTATAATTGTAAATCTGGTATTTTTATGTTCGTCGTGAATTTAATTTTTAAGTTTTTTTTTTTCAGGGCACAGAGGTATACTGCATCCGATGATATTCTTCAGTATTTGGAAGAGCTTTCTGACGAGGATTTTTTAGAAGACTAGGGGAGACCGGGGCTAGTTGGGTACCGGGGTAAGTTGACCAAGTCGATTTTTAAGATCTAGCTTTTAAGTTGGACACACTGCACCAACAGCATTGTATTATGACCATCGTTGTTTATCACTGTACGAATCATAGTGATTATATGATTATTCCTTAATCTTGTAATCAATAAAATATTGTTATCAACTGTTGTTTTTTTTTTTTAACGTTTTAAAAATGTTGTTTTTACATCGTTAAATTGCATTTTTTTAAACATTTGCAGCAGAGTAAAACAACTATAAAAGGTATGTAGAACACGATTCAGGTATTGTTTAATCGTAATATTGTCTATGATCTTCATAATTGCTTCAAAAGTATAAAAAAATGATTTGGGGCTAGTTGGCCTTCTAAAACAGGGGCATGTTGTCTTGTATAAATTGTTTTAAATAATATAACTAAAAATTTGTATTTATATAGATGGTTCGAAATTACAAACGGAAGACCGATAGAGGACATACATCAGAGGATGTTATGGAACGTGCAGTTAAAATAATTATAAATGAAAAGTGTTCTTATAAAAGTGTGTCAGATGATTTTAATATACCTGTTAAAACTTTATCCCGTTACTGTAAAAAATATATTAATAACTCAGAGATTTTTAAGAATTCTGTTGGATACACAAAACCAAGACAAGTTTTTTCGCTTGTCGAAGAAGAAGAATTAGCAAATTATATTAAAAAAGCTGCAGATATTTATTTTGGCTTATCACCAAAAGAAGTAAGAAGATTAGCATTTGATTATGCCAGCTATTTAAATAAAACAAATATCCCTAAATCTTGGTCTCAAAATGAACTTGCTGGAGAAGATTGGTTCACTGGTTTTAAAAAACGTCGCCATGACCTGTCAATACGTATACCTGAAGCCACTAGTTTAGCCCGCGCATCTAGTTTTAACATGGTCAATGTTAACTCATTTTTTGTTAATTTAAAGACTGTACTAAATCGTTACAATTTTGGTCCAGGTGACATATACAACATGGATGAGACAGGAATAACTACTGTTCAAAAACCAAACAAAATTGTTGCACGTAGAGGGTTTAAACAGATTGGCAGAATAACGTCGGCAGAAAGAGGCACACTTGTGACATTAGCCTTTGCAGTTTCAGCATTAGGTAATAGTGTACCACCATATTTCATATTTCCAAGAGTACATTTTAAAGATCACTTCATAGCTAAAGGACCATTAGGTTGTGCAGGTAGTGCTAATCCTTCGGGCTGGATGAAAGAAACTCACTTCATTGATTATTTAAAGCATTTTGTTAGTCATGTTAGGTGTTCAAAAACCAAACCGGTTCTTTTGTTATTGGACAATCACGACTCGCATTTATCTATTGAAGGCCTAAATTACTCTAAAGAAAATGGAATTACAATTCTATCATTTCCGCCTCACTGTTCTCACAAATTACAGCCCTTAGATAGAAGTGTGTATGGACCCCTGAAAAAATATATCAGTTCGGCTTTTGACTCGTGGATGGTGAACAACCCTGGTAAAACCATGACAATTTATGAAATTCCTGAAATGGTGAAACAGGCATTGCCATTAGCAGCTACACCGAATAACATTACAGCTGGTTTTACAGTCAGTGGAATATATCCTTTAACCCTAATATATTCACAGACATAGATTTTATGCCAAGTTATGTGACAGATCGACCTTTTAACATTGAAACTGAAAATCAACAAGACCCTTTAAACCAGACTACTGAAGAACTAAACACAGATCTAATACTTTGTACATCCAATCAGGCGTATAATACTCAAGAACTAGAATCTAATAGCCCTGTTATTCAACAAGTTGAAAATATTGTAGTGTCAATACCAGCAGAAGCTTCTACTTCAAATACCCAAAATCAAAAAATAATAGCAAAATCTCCTGAAGACATAAGACCACTGCCTAAAGCTGGTGCTAGAAAACAAGGAAGACAACATCCGAGAAAAAGGTGTACGGCAATTTTGACTGATACTCCAGAAAAGGACAAGCTGGAAGCAAAAAAAAAGTGTCAAGTACAAAAAACATGCAATGATAAAAAAGAAAAAAAAATTATTTAAAACAAAACAGAAGACACAAACAAATACTGCAAATAAGAAATCTAAGAAAATTAAAAGCTTATCAAGTTCAAGTGACGATGAAGATGCATATTGTCTAGTTTGCTGCGAATCTTATTCATCTAGTCGGGCCAATGAAAAGTGGGTGTCATGTGTTAAATGCAAGAAATGGTCCCATGAAGATTGTAAAACCGGCGAGGATAGATATATTTGCCATCATTGTGAATCGGATGATGAATCATTTTCAGATGAATAAATTTTAAGTTATTTAACCTACCTTTTACCTGTTAATTAACTGTGATACCTAATGTGTAATATTTTATCTCAAAGAAGAGATTAGTTTTAAATTTAAAATGTTTGATCTTGATTATGTTTAAAATTGTTGATCTCAAAGGAGAGATTAAATTTACAGTTGTTAATTTTTTTTAATAAATTACTTGTTACAATAATGATTATGTTTTAAATGTTTTAAAAATACCTACTGTTAAATAAATTAATAAGGAAATTTGAATATATTTATATTACCTATAATTTAAAATGTTTGATCTCAAAGGAGAGACTTGATTTAAGTTTAAAATTGTTTATTTTGATTATGTTTAAAATTGTTTATCTTAAAGGAGAAATTAGATTTATGTTTAAAATTGTTGATCTCAAAGAAGAGATTAGATTTACAGTTATTAATTTTTTTTAATTACTTGTTACAATAATTATTATGTTGAATATGTTTATATTGCTTCATTAATTGTTATATTTGTTATATTTTAACAAACCTAAATTTAAATAAATGAATAAATGAGGAAAAACTGATATATTTATGTGTGTCAACTTGCCCCAGAGGTGATGTCAACTTGCCCCAGACACGGGGTAAGTTGGCCTGATTATTTTTTTTTAGTTTCATTTTTTTTTTCAATTATGGTTTAATAATTAAGATGGCAATTTAAATTAATTATGTAGCTTACATGTTACTGAACTGTTAGGTGTATTTTGATCTTTAAAGTCATAAAACTGAATGAATTAAAAATATAAATGTAAAAAGTAAGCCAACTAGCCCCGGTCTCCCCTACAATGATGACGACATTGATTATGAACCTGAGTTTATTGAACAGAATGACGTTAGCAGTGATTCTGGACAATCATTATTTGATGAGCATAATCTACCCGATGATGATGATGATGTAAGTGATGATGATTATTTGTTTTATGTGGGTAAGGATGGTGAAACGTTGTGGATAAGTAACTCTGCTGCATTGAACACAAACAGACGTAGAACCAGCGCCAAAAATATTGTAAACATTTTTCCCGGGGCCTAAAGGTTCGGCCAAAAATACACCAACACCCAATGACGCCTTTTCGAAAATTATCTCGCATGAAATGGTTGACCGTATTGTTACGTACACAAATATTTATATAATGAAAACCCTTACGCTAAACGTGGCATTACGAGCAGAAAAGGGAGAAGAACCACGACAGAGGGATTTCAAACCTACTTCTCGAAACGAAGTCATGTCATTGATAGGTGTTCTTATTTTACTCGCCATCAAAAAAGGTAATCGTGCAGACATAGTTGAGCACTGGCAGTCAGGTGGTACAGGATTAGTGATTCTCAGGGCCAATTTAACCCTTTCAGACCTGACTTTTTTTTTAACGAAAAAAAATTTTTTTTTTTCATTTATCTTTTTAAATAGGTAAAAAAATAAAGTTGACAAAGTTTTAAATAACTTTATTTATTTTTACCAAGAAAACTGGTAGGGTCACAAAAGTGACCCGTCGGCTTGAATGGAATGAAATATACAAAAAATTTTATTTTATTTTTATTTTATTATTTATTGAAAAAATCTAATATTTTTTTCGATAACTGCAATTTTATTATAATAAATTAAATAAATACCTTTTACAATATTCAAAGTATACAATTAACTTATTAAACTTCAATATATAAACAAAAAATTAATATAAGCCTTAAAAATAAAATAAGATACGACTCTTCTTGAGTAGTTGAATGTATATAATTTGTACAATATTATTCATAATATTATTTCTTAATATGAAAATCAGCAAAACAATTTCTTCCTGAAGCCAAACATAAGTGTACTTTACACTTTTCGCAAAAAATGTGCGTTCGATGTTTTCGTGAACATTTTGGATGCTTGCATTTTGTTGGATTTTTCAAGTTATCAACACCAGGTAAATGATCTATTGTATCGTATCTTACTACATCGTGAGGTATAGGACTATCAGTTTTTATTTTTTTATTTGTTTGCGGAGATATCTGTGTGCATACATCTTCAGAATTAGATGAACATCTTGAACTCCTATCAGTAGAAGTATTACTAGGTCTGCCTTTTCTTTTTGGAGTTAATTTACGAAAATTTATTATTTCATTAGCTAACTGCAGCCGAAAATATAGCAAATCTAGGATTTTATTTTTTTGGATGTTTAAATACTTTGCGTCTTTGAGATATTGAATCCAGCAATTGGCCACTACCAAATCAAAAGCATGTACTATAAGTCGTAATGTCCATTTTTTGGATTTTATAAATGTCCTATATGTACTTATAAGTTGATCGATTTTGTCAACGCCACCCATTGATTTGTTATATAACGTTATAATTTCCGGTCTTTCTATTTCTACATACATTTTATTTTTTTTGTCCCAGCGTTTTATAATTTCAACTTCACTAGACGTAATAAAATTAGATGCTATATTTACTGGTTTATTATCGTACCATTTCAATATGCCTAAAGAAAAGTTATTGATTTTCTTAGATTTTATTTCGTAAGATGTTCCACGTCCCATTTTAGACATTATTTTATCTGCCAATAGAGGTGGATTTGCAAATCGATTTGTCTCATTGTACCAGCTGCATAAATTCCTTTTTTATAAAGTCGTTCAAATAATTGAAAGGAAGAAAAAAAATTATCAAAATATAAGAAATGAGAATTTTTTTTTACTCCTTTAGTTAATTGTAATACAGTTGCACCACGAATTCCAAATTGTTTTTGTAAATCAGAATTTATTTCAGTAGATGCCCCTTGATATAATAAAAAATCATAAACTGTACCACTTTGTCCTGCAAGTACATATATTTTTATACCCCAAGGACATGGCTTCCCTTTCATATATTGCTTTACCGAAAGGGTGCCTTTAAATGGCACCATTTGTTCATCGACACATAAGTTTCGTTCCATAACTAAACTATTACATTTTTTTTTTATTAAATCATACAAAGGTCGAACTTTTATAAATTTATCTTTATTATTAATTGAGATACTGTTATTGTCAATTATGTGTAAATTGGATCTGAGCTGAAAAAAAACGATCTCGAGTCATAGTATTTGCTACAATATTAATTCTAAATGTCTCCTCCCAGTACATTCGTACCGGTGGAAATTTCAATGACCCCATTATAATATGAATTGCAATTAGTGATTTTATTCCCATACCGTTTGTTGGCTGGAATTGTATTCCCTTTTGAACTGTATATAATGTGGTGTTAAAAGCTATAGTATCGAAAAAATCTTCATGAAAATACTGATAAAAATAATCAATTGGAGAGGGCATAGATGTAGGGTAAACTTCATTTTCTAAATCATCTAATTGTAAGTTTAAACTTTGGAAAGGTTCATTGAGCCATTTTATACTTTTTTTATCAGTAACGGAATAGTTATTTTCATTCAAAATAATATTATTATCATCATCATCAGAGATGTTTGGTAAGTCATAGACATTATCCTCGTTTTCAAATTCACATAATAAATCCTGTAATTCATCATCGGGAAAAAAATCGTCCTCATTATCTATACTTCCAATATCAGAATTATAACCGTCCGATAATAATTCTAAAATATCACACTCTAGTAATTTACGAGACATTTTTTTTATAAAAATATTTATTCATAAAATAAAATATAAAAACTAATAATAATATACCTACAGTACGACACAGAAGAATATGAACGTACAACTATGGCGTTCCGCTTCATAAATGAAAATAAATACAAATGTAAATAAACGCGATGTCCCAATGTGCCACGCAGACCGGTGGGTCACATTTGTGACCCAATATTCAATCATTCATATCACATCATATAATGGGAATATAATAGTGTTTACGATATTAATAGATTAAATAACTTGTATTATTCTAAGATAAAAATATACAACTCGCTGATAATATTAAATTCGTTTCTATTAATCGAAAATCCAAACAATACATGAAACATTTTTTCCATTTTATTTTTATTAAGAAATATACCAATATAAACCGACCAAAAGTTATTACGAGGATAATAATTACATAATCGTATTCTACGGAATTTTGTACATTGATACGTATACAGAACGTTCGCCATACACTGCACATTTATACGTAATCGGAGAATCAAATATTGGGTCACAAAAATGACCCTGGGGTCTGAAAGGGTTAAGCATCATATAGGCGATTTTTATTTTTGCTCAGATCGCTCCGTTTGGATGATATAACTGATAGGAAAGATCGAGGGAAAACTGATAAACTAGCTGCAGTTTGAGAATTTCAATCAGACTTTATAAAAAATTGTCAGAATTCCTATAATGTCGGAGAGTTTGTCACGATAAATGGAATGCTCGTTGCATTTCGTGGAAGGTGTGGGTTCATCCAGTATATGCCACAAAAGCCGGCTAAATATGGTCTCAAATATTATGCACTTTGTGACAGCAAAACATTTTATACCTATAGTTTTGAACTGTACTGTGGTAAGCAACTGGATGGGCCATATGGTAATAATTCTAACAAACCTACTGACATTGTAAAACGGTTAGTTGAACCAATAAAGAATTCTAATCGCAACGTAACTACTGACAACTACTACACAAGCTATTCGTTGGCTGAGAATCTGCTACAGGTAGGATTGACCCTGGTTGGCACTATGAAAAGAAATAAAAGAGAAATACCTCCAGAATTTATATCGGAAAAAAACCGCCAAGTTGGATCCAGTCTGTCAGGTTTCCAAAATGACATGTCATTGACGAGCTATGTGACGAAAAAAAAAAATGTGTGATCATTTTGTCAACAATGCATGATACGGTGGACATCGACCCAGACACCCATAAACCTGAGACCATTATGGGGTACAATAGCACAAAAGGAGGTGTCGATGAATGACGGTATTTTTTAGAATCTAAGACATCGCGGGTATAAATTCCTATAAGATATATCTAGCAAATAACCCTGAAAACAATATCAGAAGAAAGAAATACTTGAAGGCTTTGGCTATATTGTTGATGCAAGAACATTGGAAAGAATGAGCTCAGATTTGGGGCCTTCCGAAAGATGTTCTCACTTTCCTTTCCGATTACAAAAAATCCGACTGTTCAAATAAATTAAGATATTCGAAAAGGATATTTTTATTTATGTGGGTCACATAAAAATAATCGGACAAACACTGCTTGTGAAAAATGTCATAAAAATGTTTGTAAAAATCATCACCAACAGAGAACTGAATGCAGTAAGTGTTTTGAAGATGAGGATTCATCATGATGACTAATTTTTCAAAATATAAATTTTTATTTATAAGTACATAGATAGCGTTTGAAAAGTTTTTGTTTATTTTAATCTAAATTATTTCTTAATCAAAAAGTTTGTATGATCTTTTTTTTGTTATTTTTTATTTATAAATATCTACGCAGATAGCGTTTGAAAAATTTTTGTTTATTTTAACCTAGATTATTTCTAGGTCAAAAAGTTTGTTTGATCTCTTTTTGTTATTTTTCTTGAATAAGGGTTATCAAAATAAAAAATTATATACTTTGTTTATATGTTCCATTATAATATTTACCATCAATCATAAAAAATTCAAAATTTGGAATTAAAACAAAAAAAATTAAATTTTTTTTAAAATGCGGCAAAAATGCCGCCGGGCGCATTACCATGTGATAATGACGGGTGCGTCTGGCAGAGGGTTAATCACGCTAAATAATAATAAAACCACATTTAGCCACGCTTAACGAGTAATAAACAATTTACTTTTAAAATTTACTGGACGCCATATCGCGTCAAACGCGTGGCTGATTGATACTCATGACACCAATTGGCGTCAATACGCAGTCAACGTGTTAACTGAAATCAGCACTCCACCACCTCTTGTAATAACATCACGAGTACAACAACGATCACATCGAAATATATTGTATAGAGGACAAAATCCAAGTTCTGCATCGATAAAATTGGTTGATAACCACATTTCCGTAAGTATAATAATATCATAATTACAGAGAGAAACATTACAAATAAACAAATCTAGTTTAGTATTAATATCTCGAATGTTCTGATAGAAGATGGAAAGATGATTTACATTTACTGGGCTCATTGACCATTTTTGAAATGGTCGGACATTTATTAACAAACTTAATAAAAAGATCGGTTTCACTAGCATCTTTACACAATTTCATTTCAGTGGCAACAGAAAAATACAGCTTACGCTGCTGCAACGTTTTATCATATGAAACTCGAACAGTTTTAAATTTGTCAACATTAAATAGCTACCGTTTGACTTTTAAGATTTGAAAAACATCTGATGATGAAGGCATAACAACACGTGTAGGACGAGGCAGTGGCGTGCCCAGGGGGGGGGCTTAGAGGGCTTCAGCCCCTCCCATTGGCCGTGTTATGGAATAAATTTTATATTATAAAATACAAAGTACAAACCATGATATTCCTAAAAACAGTGTTGAGTACACAACATATTATCACAGATTAAATAATATATATATTTTTTATATAATCTGTGGTATTATCTTAAGTAACAACGACATAATATTAGCCAAAGAATAAACGTTCCGTATATGGTACCGATATAATATTATTTGATCGGTATGAACGTAGTAACAAACATTAAAATACGACAACGACTGTTATCTGTGGTGTACGGTGTACGGCATGACGCACGTGATGCGCGACCAACAACACTATCGCAGTGATAGTGTTGAGTATCACAATCGTCAATCCTTACTCCTTAGTCTTTACTAAATACTAGCTACTACTTCTTATATTTTCTGTACAATCTTTTTGTGAATAATGTCTGAGAAAAGACCTAACGTGTTTTCTTAACGTGTTGAGTCTGTCGTAAGTAAATATTATAATAAAAAATAAATTTGTATGTGGTAGGTAGTAAAATATAGATTAGTATAATTTTATTTTTTTTAGGATGGTTGTAGTAATATTGAAATAAAAAAGGACAGCCTTTTGCCCGATAGTATAGAAGTTGACAATCCTAATTTATTAAAAAATGAGACCCTGAAAAGTTCAGTAAGTCATTTTAAATTATCTAATAATTATAGAATATTAGAGCATTGTAATTTATAATAGTTATACAATGCTTATCGTTGCATTACTAAGTACAATTCATTAGGTGCAAATTTTTATTAGATATAATTATTGATAAAATTAAAATTAACTATTATTTGCTTTGCTGTCTTAGTAAGTTTTATATCATAGACATTGTATATTTGTATTCTTAGTCCTTATCAATGCCTGCTATGACTGAAAATGAAATTTACAAGAATGATATTGCTTGCTTTATAATGAACCGAACGCTGAAAAAGTCTGAAATTGTTGATTGTTTAAAACACATTTGGATACCTCCATTAGATTTTAATTTTCCAGAGAACATAGAAGGCAAACAAAAAAGAAAATTTCAGCATAAGTATTTGACACAATATTCTTGGCTTGCTTATAGTGATATGCATAAAGGAGCCTATTGTAAATTTTGCGTTTTGTTTGCTTTTTCTGGTGGTGGAATAGGCAGACAGGTAAATTTATGCTTATGTATTAAACCTATATAGGTACCTAATGATTTTTAGTTTACTTTTTAAAATACAACATATTAATTAAAACTTAATACATAATTTTAGAATTTGGGAAAATTAGTAACTGCACCTATGTTATAGTTTAAAGATGCTAAGAATGACTTCAACAAACATTCAAAAACAGAATATCATCTTCTTTCTGTTCAAAGAGCAAACGACTTCCTAATCAATTTTGAAAGTGGGTTTGAAAAAACAGTTGATGTACTCTTTGATAAACATCTACAACAAACGATTGAGAGCAACAAAAAAAGGCTGATACCAATTGTTAAGACAATATTATTCTGTGCTAGAAATAATTTACCATTGCGTGGTCATCGAGAAACTGGTTCTTTATCATTAGAAAGTGTGAGAAGTTCTTGTATAGTTGGTGAACAAGGTGTTCTTCGTGCACTTCTGGCTTTTCGGGTAGTCAGTGGTGATACAGAACTTCAAAGACACTTTGAAACTTCCCCTAAAAACTGCACAATGATCAGTCCCAAAGTCCAAAATGAGATAATTGATGTGATTGGTGATGTAATTGTAGGGAAAATAGTTGAACGAGTTAAACAATTTCGATTTTTTTCATTACTATGTGATGAAACTACTGACATTAGCACTACTGAACAGATGACAGTATGTATACGATATGTAGATACGTCATCTTGGATACTTGGAGAAGATTTTCTGGGATTTGAAAAATGACTTCAACTACTGGTTTAGCAATAAAAGATGCAATATTAATAAAAATTAAAGAAGTTGGTCTTAGCATAGATAATCTTAGAGGACAAGGTTATGATGGAGGAGCAAACATGTCTGGTAAACATAATGGTGTCCAAAGTCTGATTTTAAATGAGCAACCACTAGCATTCTATGCGCATTGTTTTAGCCACTCTTTGAACCTTTGCTTATCCAAGGCCTGTAATGTTTCCTCGATCAAAAATATGATGGGAATTGTATCAAGTATTGCTGCTTTTTTTTCTGCTTCAGCTAAGAGATCTGATAAATTGAAATCAGTTATTTTAAGCGATAGCAATAATTCACAAAAAAAAGAAAAATTGAAAACACTGTGCGAGACACGTTGGATTGAGCGTCATGACGCATTGATTACATTTAAACAATTGTATGTTTATGTAGTGTTTTATTTATTTCTCATGAGCTGCGTTTACATAATAATGTTTTATTTAATTATTTGACAACATATATTACAACTTACAAGTGACGACTGGTACACGAGGTTTCGTGATAATAACTTATCTTTGTGTTAGTGTTATATTGTTATCATAACAGTAACAGTGATACCACACATCTCCCCCTTTTTCATATAATATCAACATCTTAACAATTATTAATCTTATTAATTTAAATTAGTAATGATTAGAATTACAACATAATCTTTAACATAAATACATAATAGTAGTTAATTAGTTTTACAATATAATATTTAAGTATTTAACAAAATAGTAGGTAATTAATTTTACAATATAATATTTAAGTATTTAACACAATAGTAGGTAATTAATTTTACAATATAATATTTAAGTATTTAACACAATAGTAATAGTAGGTAATTAGTCATTTTTATTAAATTATTTTAACGTTGACATAAGGGACGCAACATAATATAAAAAATAAATAAAAAAGGGGCGATTAGCGCACACAAAATAATAATATTATAAAGTTAGTTTTCGCAATAGAAAGTAATATATTATAAATAAAGCGGCCGTTGGTCTATTCGATACGGCGTACAACGAAAGACAAAGATTTCTGCGGCGGCCGCGTTAGTCTACGCGCACCGGCGAGTCAGCGGCAGCAGATAACGCGCCGATAATTAATTTAAATAATCTTATAATATAAAACGAAGAATAGTTGCTACACGGGCCGATAGGTTTAGTGTCCCGACCAATCGAAAAATTATAATTTTTTTCTTCCAGTCCTTATCCGATATCTCCGCCGTCGTCGTTATCGTCATCTCCCGCCGTCGTCGTTATCGTTACTCCCGCGGTCGTCGTTATCGGTCGTTATTACTTATTATTAGAGTACGGATTTCAAAGCAATAAAAAACTAAAATAAAGCACTAAAAAAAAAGCAAAATAGCTGTCTAAATCTTCCAAAAAAGCTTTAAAAAAAGCATTAAAAATAGGTTTTTAAAAAAAATTTATCACAAAAAAAGTATTAAAATTATTTAAAAAAAAAGGTATTATAATAAACTTATTAACAACCCTGCTTCTCCGAGTTTTCATTCTTCCACAATTATTGATCTGTAAATTGAATTTATTCTATTTAAGATAATTTATAAAAAATTAATTAAATAATAGTTATTAAATGATTTTTTTTACCTATATCATCGGAGTTGCATTGGACAATCAAAACTTTTTTCAAGTTTTCAAATAAAAATTTTCTACGACGATCGGACAATATATGTTTGTATTTTGAAAAGCTACGTTCGACGTCAACAGATGTAATAGGAGCAAATTTATAATGGATTAAATCATTACATATTAAGTCTTCAGGAAGTTCCTGTCTTGATACTTTTTCGCCTTTTAGAATATTTGATATTATGGTAAGAATTTTAAATCCCGAATTTTTGTTTAGTACATCATCAAGTTTTTTTGTAACCGTTTCTCCCGTTTTTCCCAAAGCTTGTTTAATTTGTTGTTTAACCTTTTCTATACAACACACGGATTCTGATAATAGCATTCCAGATGTTTCTAAACGTGTAATTTCAGTAGCCAAAAATCCAAAATTACTTTTTATGTAGATTAAATTTTCTTCAATTTCTGGGTTTTCGACTAATTTTTTAGCGTTTTTAATAGCCAGTGCATCATCTGAGTCCAATTGAAGTATAACATTTTTGATAAGTAGAAAATGTTCACAATAATAGTTTACGGCATTTAACCAAGTGCCCCAACGAGTAATCATTGGTTCTGGAGGTAGAGGAATACCCGGAGCCAAATTCTTAAACAAATTTGTACGGTATGGAGCTTTTAAAAAAACTTTTTTAATATTTGATATTAAACTATTAATTTCTGGAAAATTTATTCTGATCTGTTCTGCCACTCTGTGTAGGCCATGTGCCAAACAAGTTATATGCACCATTTTTGAGTAAAGAACTTGTAAAGATTTTCCTGATTTTACCATATATGGTGCTGCATCCGACACAAAAAGTAAAACGTTGTCATGAAGTATGCCTTCAGGCCATAATATAAAAAGAGATCTGTCAAATAATTTAGATATAGTAGAGTGGTTGGCTTTTTCTAACACCTCTGAGTTAAGTAGGAATATTTTTCCAGGATTGTCTACTTCCAATGTACCAATTATAACATTGGCTACATATCGCCCCTCAACGTCAGTAGTCTCATCTATTGACACCCATACATTTTTGTTCCTGACGTAATCTCTAATTTTAATAATAGTATTTGTATAGCATTGATCTATATAGTTTTTTCGAAGCGTAGACTCGTCAGGAATAATTTGTTTTGTATGTTTATGCAGAAAATCGCGAAATATTGGTATATTTAATTTAGTGAGAGGGATATTTGCGGACAAAAAAAACATTACACAGTTCTTCGTTGAATGATGACTTCATTGATATACCTGTGACTAGAAGCTGAGATTTTGGTTTTTCTTGTTGATTTCTAATATTTAGCTGCTGGATATGTTTACCTCTAGCGATATGTTGTTGAATATTATATTTTTTTTCGTCAGATACTTTAACACCACATACTTTGCAAAAAAGTACAGCATTGTCACAAGAAAAAATGTCTTCACCAAATTCTTTTACAAAATTGCGAAGACGAGCACTACAATTAATAATTTTTGGCATTTTGTAAGTGACTATCGGTAAGAATAACGAACTATACGGTGTTGCAACGAAAACTAAACTGTAATTCTGAGTAGATAATTTCCAGAGCAAAAGCATATTTTTGTGTTTATTGTCGTTTCAAGATAAAATAATCTACTATATTCAATAAGCTATATACGTATCTAAATTACATCGATAAACATACCCATAAATCAAACATAACGAGATAAAATCGATTGAGCCAGCCATATACAATAATATACGATATTGAAAAACACATTATTTTACAATAAAATAAAAATAAAAATACGTTTATTTAGAACACATTTTGAAAAATGTACCGAAAATGCCCAAAAAAGCATAAATATTCATAAAACGCAAAAAAAAGCAAAATAAAATGTCGTGCATAGCAGTATAGCAGTATAAATCGAATTTGTAGCTGACATAGCTTCGTTTTAGAGCAATAGAAAAAAAAGGCAAATGCCTTCAAAATCCGTACTCTACTTATTATTATTGTTTTAATGTACCGTTTTTTCCGCTTTTCGCCCGGTTTTCCGGCCTTTCGAGACCTTTTTCCGCCGCGTTATCGACCCTTTAGCCCAGGGCGGGTTTTTTCGTCCCGTCCGCGCGTTTTCCGATCGCGCGGAACGCGTCTCTCGCGAGCCGCGCGTCCCCGAATTCCGTTCGCGGCGCGTTCTCCGGTCGGTCGTCGTATCGTCACTACTGTTTTATTTTATTACGATACGAGAAATCGTTTATTCGTATCGATTACGCGTTTTTTTTGTTTTCGGTGTCTCCGCCATCGGACGCCTCCGTGACCTCATCGTCTCGATAGCGTACGAAATACGATTATATGTGTATATATATATATAATAATAATATTATATAAAAAAAAGAAACGTACGTATCGTTGTTGACGTACGTCAGATCGTGTTTATTATATACAAAAAAATCGCAAAATCGTTGCTCTTCAGTCGTTGTAATGCCTTTAATCGCATACCTTTGGGGGGATATCGTGATATGTGTATGTGATGATAAACTCGGTACGTCGTTAAGACGTATACGATTAAAAAATGTAAACGAATACGTCGGAAACATTCTAAACGACAATTAATATGCGATTTACGGTTTCGTGACACGCGAATCGTAAAAATTGTAAGGGTTAAACGACGTATAATGTAGTATTAGTCACATCTCTAAAACGGTTTAAGTGCTCGAGATTCGGTCGTGGTTTACAACTCAAACTATAGTCGATAGATATTAGAATAGGTCCCCCGTCGGTAGGTAGGCAGATTCGAATCCCGTTCCGGCGTATTCCGGGCGGCCCCATAAGAAACTACACGTACGGAATTTTTCGCATTTTTTTTTCATTTAATTCGATCGTTATTAATTGCTCTTTTCGTTTTAATATCCAGTCTTACATTACTACTCATAAAATATTTTTCAAATTTTAAAAACGATTTTTAATCTCACACATTACATTTTATACTGCTTGATTGGTGATGACAAAATATATTATATTATAATATACTTTACACGAACGTTAAATTACACAATAGTATTCAATAATTCGTTTTTTAAATAGATTAAAGATAGATTATTGTATTCAATTAAAGGAATTATAGTTATTGCTAACAGTCTGCACAATTCAAATGTACATATGTGAAATGCAATTTATATTATAGCCTGAGAACATTCTATTGATGACTTGGATTTTCAATGGAGATCGCTTGAAAAATCGAGCGCTCGATTCGACTTAAACTTTTATGCGTACTAAACGGCACAACGTTTTCGACGTCAGGAGGTATGACAATCCGCCGCAGGCGGATTGCCCTGTCAGGTATCGATATTCGCTGGGCGATGACTGATAACTAGACACTTAATAACCCTTTCGGAGTGT